CCTGAGTGCTCACTGGAAGGACAGATCCTGAAGCTGAGGCTCCAATACTTTGGCCATCTGATGAGAAGAGAAGACTCCCTGGAAAAGACGCTGATGTTGGGAAAGTGTGAAGGCAGGAGAAGGGGACAACAGAGGACGAGCGACCAACATGAATTTGACCCAAGTCCAGGAGGCAGTGGAAGACAGGAGGTCCTGGCATGCTCTGGTCCATGGGGGGTCATGAAGAGTCGGACATGACTAAACAACTGAACAACAACAAACTCCAACATAATTTATAGTTAGTACCATCATACCAGAAGAAGGGAGATTTATTTCACCTGCAGTGAAGATCGGCACCACCAAGATCCTCTGCAGATACGTCCTCCCCAGTTGCTGCTTTAACCTAAAGCAGAAAAGCAAAGCCATTGGCTCAGAGGACTGTACTGTTGCTCAATTTGATTCACAATTTTTAAAAAGTTATCTCTACTATAATACTCCTGGCCTAGTACGGAGAACGTATTTCCAAGTTTTAAAACAATATTTGAACCTGGTAGCAAACTCTGATTTACAGCATGTTTGTGTTAACCTCAGTGAAGACATAAGAGCACACCAAACTTAATGCTAAGAAGAAAGGAGAGAGGGTAGTTCAAGAGAGAAAGTGGAGGAGAACACAAAACACAGGCAGAGCACTTCCTATGCCTTAAAAATGGTTAATAGATGCTGCATCTGCATCAAAACTCTGTGGATTATCATTTATTACAGAAAGCAATCGAGACAACTGAAAAATGTTGCAACACACAGGATGCCTGTTTGGACACATCACATCATCTGTCCTCCCTACTGGTCTTCCATTCTCCTTCCTGTCAAACATTAGTCAACATTTTGCCCCCTGGGCTTGCTCAGTCTTCTCTGAGCTGTTTCGGACATACCCTCCCTGCTCTCTGCTCCCCACTACAGACAGCTGGCAATACTTCTCACTTGTATCTATATATGGTGTCATCTGGGTTACAAAAGAACTAAGACTCTGAGAACTGGGCTTGCTATTTGTACATCTGATAATGATGATGAGCACATAAAATAATGGCATGTATCATCATTCATATACATGGTGACATATAAAATACCAAAGAGATATGGGTTTCCACCTCATGGAGCATACCATCTAAAGATCTGACATATGGAAGGTAATACAAGGAAGGAAGGAAGATGGAGACAAGGGCAAAATTGAACAAATACGCATTCAATTCCTTGCAAATATTTAAATGTAAGCTTAATTTGAGGTATAAAGGTTCTAGAGGAGAGAAAAAGAGGTAGCTGCAACCACTGTAGAGATTGTAAGAGATGCTCCCAGGACTGCCTGCGATGAAAGAGAACAACAGAGATCCCTCAAAGATCTGTAGGACAACTAAGAGTTAACTGAAGTGTCACAATAGACCATGTAACAAATGGGCTGACGTGAAGCCCTGCCATTCTGGAAACCTTATCTTTCAGAAAGGAAAAAAACAAAACATTGAATGCTGCCCTTAAAAAATCCTAGCTCCCCTTTTATTATTTTCAACGGGACTTATATGGGAGCAGTTTTTGGTGAATGATAGTGTAAGCAGACTCTGAAACCTAACACTAAGAAAAAGATTCACATTCATCACTGGTTCTTAACCTTGGGTTACTCAGGAGTTTTGGACTGCAACTCCTAGAAGCCTTCACCACCAACTGTGCTGGCTGGGGTTCTGGGAGTTGCAGTTCAAAAACATCCGAGTAACAAAGGTTAAGAACCACTGATCTAGATCAGTGGTTTCCAGCTTTAGGTCTCTAGCTGTTATCAGACTACAACTCCCAGAAGCCATCACCACTAGCTGTACTGGCCAGGATTTCTGGGAGCTGCAGCTGAAGAACATATGGGGACCCAAAAGGTTAATCTAGATGAAAAAACATTAAGAATAATAACACTGAAACTAGCAAACCTTTGTAGACAAATACAAAATAATTTTACAAAACATAACAGTATCAGTTGATATTAAAGAACAGCTGGATGTTTTCCCCATTGCTATTAAAAATGAATAATGTCAAAACTACCTAAAATATTTAAAAGAACCCTGATGTTAAAAAAAGATTATACATTTATAATTAATCTACAAGCTCTGACTCTTCTCTTTTTCTAAAGTAACTTAATCAATGCCTAAAATTCAAACAGGAAATTAAGTAACAAATTAATTAGTACTAGACTGCAGAGTGTCGTCATGCCTAAGTTGTTATTGATTTTCTATGTCTGCTTCTGCTGATTACTTTGTACCACAAAACTGTCTCTTACAAAAAAAACATGGTTCACACAAAAGACTTTATTACTGCAAGCTAAGCAATGCAATGTGTGTTTTTGCTCTAGTGTGAATAGATAATTTTGATGTGTAGAAGAAATTTTAAGTTGTGACTAGAAATATTCAAGTATATTTCAATCAACCACCATACTTTCAAAATACCAGAAATTATGCTGGATGATTTGTGATGGGAAATTTTGAACAATTACTGAGGGGAAATAAACAATAACTAGGCATGTGCCAAGGAATGCAACCAGCGCCTGATTAATTAGCAGCAATTTGCCATCAAAATTTACACCATTTCACTTATGTAGGTATACATCATCAACTCTTTATGCTGCAAAGTGCCTGTCTTGTGGATCTAGTTTACCAGATGTATTTTGGTCAGTGTCTCTTTATGCTGCAAAATGCCTGTCTTGTGGATCTAGTTTACCAGATCCAGAAAATAATTTGGATCTGGAGGAACAAACTACTCTCATGCATGAAGCTTCAGCTACTACTTAAAACAAGCCAGTTTTCTTACTTTATACACAATATGGAACTGGGAAACTGTGTTCTTAAAGTAAAAATGGAAAATTTAACTTTCTTGCATTCTTTTTTTATTTTTTAAGCAAAGCCATCCCTTCCTAGAAATCTACAGAAATGATTATAAAGCTTTTAGATATGAAAACAAAACTTTCAAAATCTGTTAAAAACCATTCTCTTACCAAGGGTGGTCCTCCCAAGAAAATTGTTCCTTGCTTGCCAACTATTATGCTTTCATCAGCCATCGCAGGGACATAGGCTCCTCCTGCAGTACATGAACCCATAACTATTGCTATCTGAGAAAATTAAACAGAAACAAGAATTAACAGAGAAAGGGGACTCTGGAAACAAACATGCTTACTTGATGTGCAACTTAAATTGCTTTTGTCCTAGAAATCTAATTTGTAAATGCATTCTCCACTCACAGCTCTAAACCAGGATTGTCAGCTGCTGGAGAAGCACAGTTCTTGTTTTAATTCTACAAACGAGGTACACTGATGTCACTGTACTACACTATTAGGAAACATCACTTTAAAGCTTAGAAGCTGCCTAGAGTGTTTGCGATGAACAGATAGGCAGGGTATAAATGGAATAAATAAATAAAATAAATAGAAGCCTGCAAAATTGCGCAGTAGGACACATCTGAAGCTGCAGGTCCCAACATCTTTTCACTCTGAAAGTCTACTTGGGACATCTGCAAGAAAAAACCACTACTGCAAATTTGTCTGCTAGCTCTAAACTTCTAAAGCAATAGGCAGGACTTTCCTGGATAAGCATTCAAATGTTATTAATCTGTCCCTTTTCTTTGCCTTATTGTTTTTTCACCTCTAAAAGAACTAAAAGAAATCATAGTTCTTGAGGGAGGAGACTTCCAACCTGGTCATCTCAAAAACCAACTACTGTTTCCAAGAGGTTACCAGGTATCTCCAAGGGAAGTAAATCTATACTGTTAATTTCCTTCTGCTATTGTGTACTTTTGGAAAGTATGTAACACCAGAAATGCTGCAGAACCTAGCAAAACTACAAATTATTTGGGTAAACTTCTTTAATATGTGTAAATAAATCAGCAATAACATGGGTATGTACCATTCTCACCAGTAACTAGAGTACCAAACGTATCCTAAGAAAGTTCCTCAAAAGCAAGACAATGGGGCTAGATGACAATGCAAAAGCAATAAACTTGCCCCTTTTGCTCTTCTCCCTCTCATATACAGCCACATACTCTTCAAAAATAGCATTGCCAGCTTTGTGATGGATTTCTCCCTCATTCTAAGCCACTTTAGAATACAATCTTGGCAAATGTAGGTATAAATAAAAAAAACTTTTAAATTTATTGTAATTGTATTTTAATTGTTTATCTTTTTATTGTATTTTAATTGCATTTTAATTGTTGTAAGCCACTCAGAGACCTTTGGGTAGAGTGGGTGGCATATAAGTTAAACAAACAAACAAACATTATTTATTTTATTAGATTTCTACCCCACCCATCTAGACCAAAGGTCTGCTCTGGGCAGCATTACAAATTTAAAAACAGTTAAGCCAGTAAATATATACATAAATCCAAGATGGCAAAAATAAGAAGTTAAGATATGGCAGAAGGGAAAGCCTTGTTATTTAACACGTTTACTGTTTACTCTTGTAATCTGGAAGGAATTTAGGTATCTAGTGCATATCTGTCATATCACAACAGTGCACACCTCTGAGAATTTTGCCTTATTGAATTTTGTAGGTCCAGATAAGTCTATGTCAGACTATATTTTCACATAACAATTCTATATAAGTGTAATGGGAAATGAAGTGAAGGATCTATACCTTCAGAAGCCTGCAATCTCATTTCAGTCAATCAATCAATCTTCCCTTTATTTCCCCTTTGCCAGTATCTTCCCTTCAATTCCCATAGGAAAAACTCTAAACTGGTGCAGGTGATGGCCCAATCCTAGAATCTCTCAGAGAATAAAAGGAAACTTGGGTCTAGAAAATCCAAGGTTGCCCATGGTCCTCATGCAGCCCACAGCACACTCCCCCAGGCCCCACTAAATGTCATTTAAAAATATTTTGGGTTCAAAAACTTCCCTTGTCCCTCTATGTCTAGGGCAATTGCTGGTTCTAATTAAGCAGGACTCACTAGCAGAAATCTTGTTGCTTAGCTCAGTCTCAGAAGAGGCCCACTGACTCAATAGAACTTACAGAGGAGTTGACTCACCAAATCGCCCCAGTTCAACTGTCCTACTCTAGTTGCAGCTTACTACACTAAGCAACCGGATTAAATACCGTATTTTTCGCTCCATAAGACGCACCTTTCCACAAGACGCAGCAAATTTTTAGGAGAAGAAAACAGGAAAAAAATAATTTGTTTTCTTCTCCTAAAAATTGGTGAGCCTTATGGAGAGGTCCATCTTATGTAACACACCCTAGGACCCTTTGGAGGCTCACCCTGCCCCCCGGGGATCAGAGGGGGCGACATCGCCAGTTTCTGGGACTAAACCACCTTCCTTCTGCTTTGGGCTAGGCACGTATCATCACCTTTCATAAAGGACTATACTTACGTGTAAATCTTTAATATTAATACAGCTCCAATAACTGGTTCATATGAATATTGTTTCCATGAATGTTTAGTGTTTGTGGGCAATTGCAACCTTATTATAAAGTAAACACAAACATGGCTAGTGATTGTGAGGAACAGTGGCACTTGCTTTCTTTTATAAGTGCAGCTATGTTCTGTTTCATCCAATACAATGTATTCAGCAGCCTCCTGGTTCAAACAGAACTTGCAGCTGAAAACTGTTCCCTTTGAAGATTTTAACAGTGAACAGGAATTTGCTGTAAAAGATTTTGCTGTAATTCTGAGTCATTTTATTGGGGCCCTGTTATACAGTAGCAGCAATGTATTTCCTCAGCCACAGACATAATTTAAGTGACTGCAAGATTCCTTCTAGCCAACTAGAAATAATAATAAACCTGAAACACAAAGCAATATAGCAGAGTAATAAAAATTATTCTGCCCCGACAAAATATCCCTAAATCTATAAATCTTTATAAAGTTGTATACACCCATAAATGGAACCACTGACTACTGATACTGTGCTGTTGCAGTTGCATTAACATTAAATAGTTTATATAGAAATGCACAGATCAGCTCTGCCTGTTTAAGTCTCCTTCCTCAATTGCTCTAACAGCAGAGAAGAGGTTAAATGAACAGTGAGCAAAATTGCAACTTATTTTATTTTACTGTGGTGTGAAGGGCTATAATTCTCTGAATCCCACATCTGCATGTCCGTTGACCTTTCTGGTTGGAGGACAATGGGAGTTGGAGTCAAAAGCTACTTCCAAGCTCTGGTTTTTGGAAGCACACATTTTGACTTGGAATTTCTAGGCTGCATTTTCAATTTACGAATGGCTCTGTTGGCAAAAAATTGACACCGACTTGCAAACAGAGCTCGACCTACAAACGATTTTTGTCCTTTATCATGTCCATCTTTGCACAAAACGTTCTTTTAATATCTCCAATTTTCTTGAAGAGATCTCTGGTTTTTCCCTTTCTATTATTTCCCTCTATTTATTTGCACTGTTCATTTAAGAAGGCCCTCTTGTCTCTCCTTGCTATTCTTTGGAAGTCAGCATTCAATTTTCTGTAACTTTCCCTATCTCCCTTGCATTTTATTTCCTCTTCTCTGCTATTTGAAAGGCCTTGTTGGACAGCCACTTTGCTTTCTTGCATTTCCTTTTCTTTGCAGTGGTTTTTGTTGCTGCCTCCTGTACAATGTTACGAGCTTCCATCCATAGTTCTTCAAGCACTCTGTCCACCAAATCAAGTTCCTTAAATCTCTTCTTCACTTCCACTGTTTCTCAAAGAATTACTTGTTGTAAAAACCTTTAGGAGCATATCAGCTTCACTAAAAAGATTACTTGCCCTGACAATTAGCGCATTTTTCGCTCCATGAGACGCACTTTTCCCCCCAAAAAACTTGAGCGAATACTGTAAAACAGAGCTCGCCAGGGCCCCGCGAGGGTGCAGGAGCTTGGAAGGGTCCTGGAAGGCACACTAGGACCCTTTGGAGGCTCCCCCAGCTCCTCCCCCCGCAGGGGCGAAATCACCACCTTCAGGGACTCTTTTGAGGCTTGGGAAGCTTCAGAAGAGTCCCTGAAAGTGGCAATTTTGTCCCCTCTGATCCCACGGGGGGGGGGGCTCAGGGGGGACCCCCC